ATTGTATGGCCTGAGGTTCTTTTGAAGGACCAAATTGGGGACAGATCCTAGATAAAATCTATCTACATTTATGTGATCATTAAGAGATGACATAAATTTGATGGCTCATAATCAATCACAAACAAATTACCGGGAAGATAAATCATAGGCAGGACAGAGATATTGAGGAATAAAGACTGGTATTTAAATGTTGATATCTATATATAAAAAATGGCTGTGTGTGTGTATGTGTTCCAACATAACTCTTGAACGCCTCAAACAATTTCAACCAAACTTGACACACAAATGACTTACTCTGGAAAAAAATACTGTGGGGGTAAGACATCCCTAACACCACTGTGTGTGTGGGGGGGGGGGTGTTCTGTTAGGTTATAGCCTGTTGTGCCTTAAAATGGCTTCTACTGTACTGCCATAAAAAGGCTTCTAATGTATAGCACAGTGGAGTTGCCTGTTAACAGCTTCATAGTACTCCACAAGGGGGCTCCCTCTGATAAGGGAGAAAATCCAACATTAGAAATTACGTTTGGTCCTGCCATTTTCTCCCTATAAATAAATACCCGGACAACACCAGGTTATCAGCTAGTAGGGGATAAAGTTTGTTAGCAGTTACAATAGCTTTCTGAAGATACTTCAGCCAGTGTTGGCTTTGGTACTGGAAGCTCTGGTGTAATGCTATTTCCAGATCCGCAGATATTATTACCGATATATAAAGACATTCTGCTCCTTGTAGCTGCTTCTTCCAAGTCTCTTGCTCTCTAGGCAGTTGTAGTGATGAGAAGGATCATACCTGCCATGTGGGGGACGGGAAAAGAGGAAATCAGTGATGCCATGTTCCTGCTGAGTCTGTATAGTTGGTTCAAGGTTTAAGGGAAATGGCCTATTACCTCTCCCAAAAGAAGAGCTAAAACAGTTGGTGGTGATTTCTCTTTTCTCTGATTCTAAACTAATATTTACAGGAAAAACACTTTGTCCCAAAAGCTATGGTTGCTTTCTACCTGTTTTAGAATCAATACAATATAATTTCACTGCATACAGACGAATTCCAAGATACATTTTCATCCCAGGTAAAATACACATAGCGTTTAAGGATTGGCCACAGTAGCAGTGACATCTCAGAAGAACATTCTATAAGTGTCTTCCTTTGGATGTACAAAGGCTGCAATTCATTAAATAAGGATGTGCTGACCTTGATAACACACAAACCTCAGAACTTAGAAGCAGCCATCTCACTCCTAGGAATAGAGTTTTGGGGAATGGAATAAGACTGCAGGTCAGATGTAGAAGATGGAAGAATTAAAACATTAAAACAATCCATATGGATAATAGGTACAATATCAGTGCTACAGATTCTAATGCTTTTCTTTCTTTGGTGCACTGCTCGAAGTGTGATCCTATACTTTCACCCTATTGGGTTATTGTCTGCAAATCACCTTATTTTGCGGTACATTATGATTAGAATTGTTTGTTACATTATGATTAGAATTGTTTGCTACCGGTAGTACCTATTGAGCTTCTGGAGTAGTGCCTGAATAGCCAGTCCCTTGGAATCACGCACCTCTTGCACAGCAGAGATAGCACAGCGAGACAGGATCTGGAAGTCAGAAAAAAAGATGCCCTTGTTATTGTTATGTCCATTCTCATGACTCGAGATGCTCACCAAAGCATCTCGGGAATTCTGAAGTCCACACATTTTATAGTTGCTAAGTTTGAAAAACACTGCTCTACGTTATTTGCAAGCGAATCTGGCATTGCTGCTTGGAAGATTAAAGCATCAGTGGCCAATACTAAATAGCAATCTGCTCTCCCATAAGTGATAGAGGCTGTCAAGCCTCGCACAGGTGGGCTAGTTCAAGGAAGAAAAGATCACAATGTTGTAGAAAAGATGGGACACACAAGCCAGCTCTTCAGAGAAGGAAAGTTTATTTGCGCAGGTTCAGAATAAACAATGGCCTGAACCATGAGTGAAAGTCAGGAAATTCCTTATATAGTTTATCGCTTTCAGCTAAAGCCATCTGTTAGTTTTGGAAACACCCCTCAAGATTGGCCCTTGAGTTAGAGGAAGTATGTCTACAGGATGTCATAATACATGGGTCAGCTAACGGATATGCATAGCTCATATTTTGAGGAACTAACAATATATGTCTACCAAACAGATTAATAGCAATAGCAATAGCAGTT